TGATTCAGAGTAACAGAAGCAAATATTAGAGCACCGATTTTAGACTTTCAAGCTGCCCCAAGAACTTATATCAATCATTCCACTGCTGCACAAAGACTTTCTGCATTTACCTGGTCATGATCTTTTTTGTCACTTGGTATGTTAGATCAAATTTAAAATATTTTGCTTCTTAATTTCTTTAATGATGTGGATATCATATGAGTGGAAGTTTATCCGAACAGAGACTAAAATAAGAAATTGTAAAGATTTAATTAATAGAAGCTGTTTAAATAAGAGCTGATTCAAAAGGTTGTGCCATTCAATGGTTACCATACAGTTTAGAATAAGCAGGATGGATTTTTTTTTACACAATTTTAAACCACTAACTGAACTAGGTGTCAGTGAGCTTTTATATTAAAAATCAGAATCAACAGTCACTTCCCTACTATAGCAACTTTAAAGTACACTTATAGAAGGCTGACACATTGCAACAGCTCTTCCTAGACTGACTTAAGATTTTCAATTACAGTACACATTGCTTATTAATATCACTTCCATTGCAAACATATTTGAATTTATCAATTGGCTGAGTTGCACACTGTGGTATCAGTTTAAACTTGTATATTAAAATAATAACTAACAACTAATTCAATAATTATGCAATTTTGAAATTTACTTTTAAATTTTTATAAAAATATTTTTATGAAATTTTATGTTTTAGAAGCAACTGTTTTATCCATTTTGTCTCATACTGTTCATCAATGCACTTGCATTCTCAAGTTCATGTAACTGCTAGTAGTTTTTTTTTTTTATCAGCAACTACCAGTTCAGGAGTTTTTTTAGAATTTGCAGTATTTTTCTAGATTTAGTTGATACAGCATTCTACCCCTTTTGCTGTCAGTTTCTGTGATTCATTTAACACTTTTTTATACTACCACAGTTAGTTTTTATACACATTATCTCAATCCTTTACTGGCACATACTTTAAAAATTAATTTTTCTAACATCTCTCAGTGATGTCCAAACATTGGCTATCACTTGCAACTCCCCTGAGGCTTCTACATAAAAGCCATATTTTTAAAAAATACTTTTTAACTATGTTTCAAGAAACCGATTCTCTGCACTGACTATAACATGCACAGTCTCCATCAAAGACATCAATTTACTTAACTTTCTTCAAGTTACTGGAATGTGTTAATGTAACAAGATTCAGTGAACTATTTGTAAATTTGGAACTAGGTTCAAAGATTTAACCACAGCTGCTGAACCATTTAACCAAACCTCCTTCTTTTCTGCTGCATAGCTCCAAAAGCTGAAGAAAAAGGTTTTATGTTTAAACCTCCAAAACTAGTTCCACAAATTTACAAATACTATGCCAGTCCTTGTTGCCATAACACATCCAATAACTAAAGGGCTTGAATCAAGAAGGACCCAGCTCCACGTTTTTAAATTTTTGGAAAATAAAAAAAAAACTTTAAAAATTAATTTTATAACTTATATTCTAAACATCTGTCCTCATTAAATGCGATAGTAAAAATGATGTTTTACACCTACTCCAATCCACTGCATGCAAGCCCTTCAATTGTTATCGAAGCATGTTATCTGGGACTCCTTTAAGTGCTCATATTTTCACAAAATTCAGTTCTGTTTATCATTTTCTTAACATTTTTCCTGCAATGATAGCTTTTATAATATCCTGGTCTAAAAACTAAATGTTACAAATTGTATCTGCAGAAAGAGACACTAATGGTTCTTTAGAAAGAGCTTACAGATGTATCTGAAGCACAGCAGATATCTAATAATAAAGCTATTTTTAAATTTTTCTGCAGATTCTTTAAAACTTTTTAGAATACCATAGTCAGTTTTTACACACATTATCTCAATGTCGTCATCAACTGACACTTATTCTAAAAATGAATTTTTATAACTTCCTTCAATGATGTCCGAAACATTAGCTATAGCTTGCAATTCCACTGAAGCTACTTCTTGTTCTACATCTTATCTTCCTTCGAGTCTACATTCAGCTTTTTCTAATCATAAACTCCTTTCCAACACTGAGGTTTTCGCTTTTTTCATTAAAGAATGCTGTTTTCTTAACTGTTAGGTCCATAACATGTGATATCACAGTAAATGGTAGTTTCAGTTTCTCAAAGTAGCTGTTGTTTCACTTTTAATTATGAATGTGTATTCTAGTAGCATTCTGAACCACAGTCTAATTTCTTTTGCATTATACATTTCATGTCCCTTGTAATAATTTGGCAGCCCAGGCAAAATGTCTTTTATCCAGTTTTCAGATGCATGATGAGCTGCCTCTTCTATCTCACCACGTAGATTTCGATGAACAATGTTGAATTTTTTTTCTTAACTTGTTAACCTGCCATATTACATAAAATTCTATCATGGTATTTTAGCGAATTCCAGCTTTTATAATAAAAAGGGTTCTAGAAATAGGAACACTTTTTTAGTTTCACATATTGAAACCATTCTAGAAGAGCAGTTTCAACTTTTTTAGACTTTGCGTCTTTGCACTTTCCTGAAACATATGCAAATTACACTATGCTGTTTGGAAACTTCCCAGTTTAAATGCAGTCTTTTTCTGACTGCACTTACCAAGAACATCAAAATCTTTTAAAAATTCATCCTTTTTTTAAGGCTTAAGTCTTTATGCCAAGACATTTTGAATATGTTACAAACTAAGCACACAACAGATTTTAAAAAAATGCTTCTTCCAATGATTTATTCAACTTCAGACATTTGCAAACTGCACAATGTCTCATAGGTACTGAAAAGTAGAAAAATTATTACAAAACCCGTTTTATATATAGTACTAACAATAAATAAGCCACAGTCCGCAATACGTTAAATGAATTAAGTATGAACAGCTTTGATAACAAGTAGAATACTCTGATCCTGAAAAAACAGTCTTTTTCACACCTGGGTTTTATAAGCAGTGGACATGAACAATTAATGGCAGTTTTTTTACTGATTAGTATATATTTGTTTTGGTTTCTGGGAGTCAAATGTAATAAGTAGCTGGTTTTATTAATCAGTGACTTTAATACCCAACGTACATATAAACTAGACACTTTATTTACATTTTATTTTTATATTCCTCACCACTTTCAAGAAATAAAATTAGCTCAGTGCGAATGAACACCATACCTGCCAACCTCTAAAGATAAAAATGCAGAATATTTCTCCAAAATTCAGAAGAACACGAAGAATTAATATCATGCTTTGATATAAAAAAAAAAAAAATTATACAAATAGAAAAAAGAAAATTGTACTTACATTAGTAAATCTCAATTAAGTAGTAACTAAAAAAATTATTAGGAAACATAAAACAAGAACTTAAAAATTGCAAAAAAATTATTGCAATGAATTTAGAGAGCATTTTTTGGCTTTAGCCAAAAATTAAATTCTTTGGTCATAAACATTAGTTTCCTCATAACATTTAGCAATTAAAATGTTTTCTACAGTTTTTGGGTGAAATTGAAGAACGAAACATAGTTTTGTTTTTCTTCACACACTGAAGACTCTCTCACAGTCAGCATTACTGTGTGGAATTACGAGTTATAGCACATAAACTCTTGCTAGTCTATCATATTTCGGTGTTCCATCAGCTCTTTTTATTCTTTTTAAGGTACCAACGAGGACATCAAGTCTATCTTCTCCCGAACTGGCAAAGTCTTCAAACCTGTGCAAAGGAAAACTGTTCTGTAGTTCATCTAAAGCATCATTATGGCATCATTTCTTTATTGTTAACAAAATTAATTTATCAATAAAAAATGAATCTTTTCAAAAAGATGAATTTTCAAATTTGCCACTTCAGCATTTAAAGAACTTCATTTTGCAAAGGAAACTTCCTACAATGTAATCACGGCTGAGGAAAGTACTTCTGACATATTGAAAAATTATTTTTTCTCATGATCTTTCAAGAATTTACAAGTCCTGGTTGATTTTTGAGCAATCTGGAGTCCAAACCTCCGTCTGAAAAGTTGACGGCGCAGCGCTTAGCGGCACGTTGTGTTCGATGAGGAATGCAGTAAACAACCACTCTGCCAAAATGACATCGGCATCCGAATTCGTAGCTGAATTTGAAAAAAAATCATCCACTTTCTTTGACATTGTCGATGCTTAGTTAGACGTCATGTCGAAGTTAGACTTAACATGCTTCACAATGTCACTTCTTCCACCGTGACTTATTATGAAGTCACACACGCTGCAAAATGCAGTTATTTCCTTTGAAGGATTCTTTAATTGTTCGGCTTTGTAGGCAGCCGAAAATATTGAGAATATGGTTTTTTTTAACTCATTTCGTAACAACGACGTATTAAGAAAATTTGTAGCACATGCAAAAAAAAAAAAAAAAAAAAAACACAGAATGCGACAATCCACGCTCGCTGAATCCGAGCTGAGTAATTCCACAAGTTCAGCGCATTGGATTGGCTGGTTAGCGGCGAGTGAGAGAAAAACCGCAGGTTACTGATTCGAAGTAGTCGGTAGTTGAGGTAAAACGATGCAATTGGCGAAAATTCTAAAAATTTCGACAAAAATCACTAAAAATACTTGAAAAAGGAAAAAAATCGTAAAAAATGGATTACGATCGTAAAAACAAACGCATTTTCGTAAAAATTACGAAAAATTCGTAAAAGTTGGCAGGTATGGAACACTGTCATCCCTAACAGAAAATCAGAAACAAACGTACCCATCAAGAGACTTATGCAATTCTTTAGGATGTCTTGGTTTTACCCGACAGTCATGCCTTTTTTGAAGATGCAAGTGGGCTTGGAAAGATTCCTAGTTCTCTCCAGACTTTTTTTTTTTTTTTTTAAATGCGTTATTGAAATTGTGGCTTATCACTTTATACAAGAAAAGGTCACTCTTTACTTCAAGTGCTATATTGCTGTGCATAATTCCAAACTAGAATGGAATTCTAAAATTTTAATTTGAGGCATATGAAGCATTATTGTAATTATTTACATCATTAATATGAACTGCTACAATTATAAAATGCATACCCTTTCCTCTGAGGGGAACATGCCTTCCAAAATATCTTCATACTTCAGAGAAGTTTTATAAAATTTCATTTCTTCATGGTCTTCCCATGGTGGTTCATGACAAGGTCGATTTTTCGAATAAGGACAGGATTCTGTAAGTGGAGGAGGAAAAAAAAAAAAAAAAAAAAACATTCATGAGAGAAAGCATTTTAAAATGACAGGGTATTTTAGATGGAATACAGCAATATCTGAAGATGCAGAAACTGAAAACATTAGGTTGTTGCACATGAAACACTGGTTTTGGAAATGAAACTTTAGACAATAAACAGTTTCCTTATTAGCACTCAATTTTATCAATTGAAATATATACCATTAGATGTACTATGTATCTTTCAACAAAATGCAAGGCCATCCATGCCTGTTTTGTAGAAATCTAGTGTTTTAGAATCTAATATATGTGAATTTAACACATGTGAATGAAATATATATTTGAATAAATGCATAAGATATTGTGCTTATTTGTTCAATTTATTATTTGTTTCAAGAATAAAAAATTTGGGGATTTAGGAAACAGCATTCTAAAATTATGGAAAACCTAAGAACATTCTCAAATATAATATTTTATAAACTTTTATTTGCTTATCTACAATTTAGTGGTTATTCTTTTCATCACTATGTATTTTTAGACAAGCAAATTCATTTGAGAAATAGAGAGCTGGAAGACCTCTCTTGCAGACATTTGGAGAATAAAGACAATGGACATTTTCATTATGAATACAAAATAAGGATGTTCCACTTGTTTCATTACATTAAAATAATAAGCTTATTTTCATTGTTGGTCTTTTTCTCCTCTTGTTTTTTTATTTACGTTTAATTTATTAATTATTAACTTATTTAACTTAATTTTAAAAACTTTACACTTAATTTTTCTCAGGAATAATACAAATCTAAAGGAGGAGGGGGGTGAAAACAAATAATACCTGATTTGTTGCGGATTTTCCGTTTTTTGGGCTCCTTTTTTGCATCCTTCTCTTGCTTCTTTTTTATGAAACCCTCAGTGGCTTTCTCAACAAATCTCAGCTGCATGTAACACATATCTAGAACCTGCAAGCAAATTCTTTTAAAGTTCCAATTTAAAGCTTAAAAAATTAAATCTTAATACTAAATTATTAGTCAAAAATATTCTGTCACAGAACAAATTAGGTCTAATATTGATTTAATTGCAAAAATTAATTTATATGTCAAAATAGTCATTAATTTGTCAGCATTAAAAAGTTTTGTGAACTTAACTGATTACATCTAACGTATTAAGTTATTTTTGTAATTATTGAATTATTTGCCTAAGATAATTAATTTCTATTACTTATGAAAATTAATTTCCTCTCAAAAGCTATTTCACTCTTCAGTAAACATACAAGTGTTTTATAATATTGCTTATCATTGGAAAACTATCAAAAGATACTTCAAGATGATTAAACTAGAAGAATTTGAGTCAAACTAGAAGTATTATCAGAAACGATGAAATGAATATCTTATTTTAAATTTAGAAAAATCAAACCATTATACATTCAAGGCCAGGTCACCACATAAGTCCAAAAAATAAACCCCAAAATCATGATTTAATTTCTCAAAGTTCTAGTCTACCTTCTCATAAAAGCAAGAAAGTTTAAGTTCCTGAAAAGAGTTCCTAAAAAAAAAAAAAAAATGCTCAACTTAAAGGAATTCTTGATTTGATCTATTTTTGTTTACATAATAAACTGCACAAAATTTTTCAGAAAACACAGATTTTTTTGTATTTCTGCCAACTAAATTATTCTATCTTATATTCTCATAATAAATAAGGCTAAGATTTATAATAAATTCTTGCGCCTTTTTCCAAAACCCCCTCCTCAGATAAAAAATTGTATTTCATTATATAAATTGTCAAAAGTCAACATTATTCACATATCCTTTTATGTATTTATCCATAAAAGCATATCCTTATGCTTTTATGATTGCCAGACGACACAAGACTATGGGCCAAGTATCCATAATGATACAAATGACGATTGGTCCGATGTTTTAACAAACATGTAGCAATTTTTTTTTTTTACTTTGTTGAAAATTAAAAGTAACAAAAGCGATGAACTCTAATTTACAATTTTGCATTGACTTTGAACCATAGTAATTTCAAGTAAAAATGATCTTGATCCAATCTAAACTCTAGGAAATCAAAAAGTAGACAATTTAAAAAAAACCAGAAACTACTTAAGATAATACAGCAGAAACTGAAAAATGGATTCAAAGAGATAAAAAAACTTAAGCAGTTATTCCACTTAGGGTGAAATCATCAGAGAAAGTGCACATAAAGTGTAAAACTTCATCTTGAATGAAATCACATGAAATTCATCTGCCAAAAGACCCCTATAACTAAAGCGTGTGTTAATGAAGCAAATGATACCTAAAAGCATGCAAGCCAAAAAGATGATACAGAAATATTAACTTATTTCCCTCAAATTATATGTAAACTTGCTGATATTTCTGAAATACTAGAACTCGTATATACTCTTCTACTGTATACCTTAACCACAGACTTCAAATGTTTTAGAATCATAATAAAAACTCGTAATGAATGTCCTATTTAAACATGATAAAAGTTAAATTACTAGAGCTTTAAAAAAGATGCCAATTTAAAATGCAGGAACACAGCTAAATTCAGATGCTTATTAAATGTATAGCTAAGCAAATAAAAATCTGAAAGGTTTCAATTTTAAATTACATCCAAAGGGACCTTTTTTTTTTTAACATTTTGTGTGTTACATTTATTTATTAAATATGTTCTTTGCTTTTACCATAAAATTAAATTCAACAGCAATATCGTAAAATAATTTTAAATTGAGCATATCTTTGGAATTTCTGATACACAGTCTCGTAGGCTGGAGATGATAAAAAATTTTTCCGTAGTGTTGCTATTGCTCGCTTTTAAATCATGGAGTTTGTTAATCAAAAATATTAAATTGATAATAAAACAAATTTCAAATTAGGGCTTCCAGATGCCCATATTCAGTGGAGGATTATGTTATTCTAAATTGGATGTCTCTAAGTACCGTTTTATCACAATGTGGGAAAGCCACATACATTTATGCAGATTCTTCATTATTTAACTGTTCGACTGCTAAGCAATTCTTGCAAGAACGCACGAAAACTGCAGGACATATTTTGACTTGATTTTGTCAAATAAAACACTCTCATTTAGACAAATATCAATCAATTTTAATAATTCTTTTCATATTATAAAGCAACAAAAATACACTGAAACTCGCCGGTTTTCGAGACAAATGAGCAGAGCGTTTTTTGCGCTGCGTAGCAGTCAAATGGTTAATTTCGGTACTACTCTTATATACGCCCTCAGGTCGCCAAATGTGGAGATATGTGCTCTTCGCTGGCTTTTGGCGTGTTCTGCGATGGTTTTAGGGGCGATGTTGGTTTCTATGGCAACACTTTTTACGTGGAAAATTGGATTTTACTGTTGTGGTTTTTGTTGGAAAATAATAACCTATTGTAACCCTTTTTCTGCATCATCTCTCCTCCTTGAAATAATTCTAACTTTTACATAAGGTTTAGTTCTTATTTTAAAGGGATATAGCAATTACTTCTACTCTGTTTTTCACTGCCACTGTTTGTATTAAGAAACTGTTCCAGCCTAATTAACATGCAAAAACGAAACTCGATGTTGCGTCATTTGGAAAGCTGAGTCTTGCCACAGCTGATTGGCTGCCGTGAGATGACGTCATGTCTACTTCAGGTATAAGTATTCGCGTCGCTCTGGCTTAGTCCTTCTTGTTCCTGTTTCATTGCTCCTTGGTATGCCGTTCCAGCGCTCATTGGAAGACGTTATTGCGTGTGTGCCGTCCAGCGATAAGGACCATGGTTCCAGTCCATGATGATTTTTCCTGGATTCTTCAAAGCGGCTGCCATGTGAGCAACTGCTGTGGGCAGCATCCTGTTTGTATGGTTCGGCGGTGATAGATACCAAGCTGTGATTTCCAGTGGTCAATTGCCGTGGGCGGAGTCCTGTTTCCAAAGTTAAGCGATGTCAAATTCCAAGCTGTGATTTCCGGTGAGCAACTGCCATGGACGGCATCTGTTTCTATGGAGCGGCATCTGCTGGTGCAACTGGTTTGCATCCTGTTTCATGAAGCGCATCTTCAATACAAGTGTTTTCAGGACAGCGGCGATTTTTTCAAAGCTGTGATTTCTCGTGTGTAACCACAGTGAAATGGGGCTTTGCCCCAAAGTGCACTCAAGGTTTAGCTTAATTTTTTCAAGTGC